ATCACTACTGCCTTGCAGTGCCAAGACGCATCTTGTCGCGGAAAATAGACTGCTGTTGCTCGCTTGTTTTAAAACATTATCCACGGAGAGCAGAACAACTCGTGAGATCTCCAAGTCAACAAGCAAACCTTCTCTGTGATGAGCATATGAAACAGGGCGCGTCCTGCCGCTGGGAGAAATTTTCGGAAAGTACCACCCCTAGTTTCCGCCTCTGATACGACCTCCCTTCGCCAGATAGCCTATCCTAGATTTTCACCAACCTACCACTTTTTCCAGTCTTCTTTTGAGTCTGTAAGACAACGAGGGGAAGGAGAATAGCACATGTGAAACGGAAAAATCGTGAAAAGCCAAGAACCGGGAAAATTTTTTTCCAACTCCGCGAATTTCTCTCGAAGGCAAATACGACCCCTCCTTATAGCGTCCGTGAAACAAGAAAAATCAACTACCGAAAAAATTTTTCAGACCAAATATGATCATCTCCCCCAGCGACCAAAATGCGACCCCATGCAAGTAATTCACCGAGTAAGTGGTTCTCTTGCAGACTAAAAAGAACGAACCTTACAAAGGTCACGCCTCTCTTGCCGCGTTATCTCCCCATTTCGAGCGATGGAAGTAGTACACTCTAGTTCGCTGCGGACGGTTGGGCGTGTCAGGCAGTATGAGTGTGTCACCAAAGCCGTTCTCTGCCTTCTTGTTGAAGCGCGCATGCGACAAAAAGTGGTAGAAAACGAGTAATACGAACGATATGATACAGTCATATCATTTGCTCGCTTTAACAACTGGTGGAGAACGGGTTTGGCACCGTGCCAAACTCATCCCGCCTGACACGCCACCGCCGCCGGCGAAACTACAAGTATGCACTCGGTGGTGCCCGATCTGGACGAGGGCGGACTAGTCGATCACCGGGACCTCTTCAGGCCTTGCGGGAACGTTGCTACCATTGGAACCAAACGGAGCCTACCTTCTTCTTCTTCTTCTTCTTCTTCTCCCTAGCGTTAGTCCCGCGCCGTCGCAGGGTCCGCTGATCTTGTTAGACGTCGCCACTTGTTCCGATCCACTGCATCTTCTGCTGTGGCTTTCACTTCAGTGAGGTCCCTCTTGATGACGTCCCTCCATCTTTTCTTTGGGGCTCCTCGTGGTCGCTTGCCCTCTACCTCGAGTTCCAATGCCTTCCTTATTGGGTGGTCTTCGGGCCTCCTTAGTACATGACCGTACCATCGCAGTCGCTGCTCTCGTGCCTTCAGCTGGATAGGAGCCGTCTGTGTGACTTGCTCTGACGTCCTCGTTTCTGACTCTGTCGAGTCGTGTCCAGCCGCAGGCCCATCTCAGCATCCTCATTTCAGCTGAGTGGAGCTGCCTTTCATGGTTCTTGCAGATAGGCCAGCACTCACTGCCGTAGAGCATTGTAGGCCTTACCACAGCCCGGTCTGCAGCCTTGCGTTGAGGTTCTCTAGAGCATCGCCGGTCGCACAGGATGCCAGTAGACTCCCTCCATTTCATCCAGGCTGCGTTGATTCGGGCCATCACCGCCTGGTCCACGCTGCCATCAGCTGCTTCCCTAGGTGTTCTTCCCCCAGGTACTGGAAATCCTCGACCCTTTCGATGCTCTCGCCATGGCGATCTACGATGACTTCGGCGCACTCTTCGGAGCTTAGGAACTTGGTCTTCTTTATGTTCAGCCGAGTCCTTCGCACTAGCACATATCTGCCACCGCTGTACCTTGTCCTGAAGTTCCTCCCTGCTGTCCGCTATCAGGGCGATGTCGTCAGCATAGAGGATGGTTTTCAGTGGTCCCTCCATGAGATCTTTTGCCATGACATCTAGAGTCAGAGGAGAGAAACGGCTGAGGGCTGACCCTTGGTGTACCCCAACCGTAATGTTTACCTCCTTGGTTAAGGTGCGTACAGCTGCTTTAGCCCCATCGTACATGTCCTTCACTATGGAGATGAGGTGTTCCGGAACGTTACGTTCTCTGAGCGCTCTCCAGAGTACAGGCCTTGGCAGGCGGTCGAATGCCTTCTCAAGGTCCAGGAAGGCTAGGTAGCAGGGTCGCCGCTTCTCTCGGTACTTCTCCATCAGCTGTCTGGCGATGAAGATGGCATCGGTGGTGGACCTCTCAGGCATGAAGCCGAACTGTTCCTGCGAGATAGGGACAAGTTCCCTCAGCCTAGTGTTGACCAGGCGCTCGTACAGCTTCATGGTATGGGGAGTCAGCTTGATCCCGCGGTAGTTGGAGCACTCCGTCGCGTCCCCTTTCTGTTTGAAGATGGGAACGATTGTGCTGCTCCTCCACGCATTCGGCATCCTTCCTTCAGCTGTTACGTTGTTTAGGAAGTGCGTGAGCCAACTCACCCCATGCTCTCCAAGGGCCTTCCATGCCTCTATCGGTACCCCGTCTGGACCCACTGCTTTCCCAGCTTTCATTCTCCCTAGCTCCCGGCGAACTTCATCCTTCGTCCAGGGAGTGATGGGACCTGCCGTCGCCTCTATCTGTGGGCTATCCTTGCGAGGGAATTCTTCGTTCAGAAGTCCCTCGAAGTATTCTTCTCATCTCTCCCTGCACTTCGCTGGTTCGCTGAGAATGGCCTGTGCTCTTCCTCGCATACGTTTTACGCACTGATGTCCTGAGCTGCGCGATTGGCCTGACTTTGCCAAGCGGAAGACGAATTTGTCCCCTTCTCGGCCTTCCAGCTTGTCGTACAGGGCGTCCATTTCCGTATTCTTGGCCTTAGCAACGGCCGCCTTAGCGAGTCGCTTGGAGCTCTTGTAGGCAGCGTAGTCTTCTGGGCTCCGTGTCTTTTGCCAGCGTTTGTATGCTTCCTTCTTCTGCTTGACGATCCTCTGGACTTCCTCGTTCCAGAACCAGGCTGCCTTGTCTCCTCTGATACCACCTCGCGTCTCTCCCAGGACCTCCCTTGCACACTGTAGGATGACCTCTGCTGCGTAGGTCCAGGTGTCCTGGACTGGCCCATGTGGGTCTGGGAGCCCAGCCTCCAGTATTCTTCGTCCAGGCTTCCTTGCTACCCTGCCCATTTTCCACCACCGAATTCTTCGCTCTGCTCTCACCCTTGTCTTCTTGGGGAGGTCTATGGCGATGTCTGCCAGGAGAGGCCTGTGCTGAGGGCCCAGCTCTTCCCCAGGCAGTACCTTGATATCCTTGATGGTTTTGAGGACGATCTTCTGACCAATACATGGTCGATTTCCGTTTGTCTCCCTCCACTGTAGGTTACCGTTTGGTCCTCTTTTCACGATAGAGGTGCTGCCAATTGCTAAGTCGTGGCTGGGACGCTCAAGTATTCGTCCTCCCTCAGCGTTCTTTTCCCTATTCCTCCGTGCACCCTTTCTAGACCCCTTCTGTCCCTCCCTCCAACATGGCCATTCAGATCTCCAGCTATGGTGAGATAGTCCTTCCGGAACCGATCTTATGGCCTCGTCCAGGGTCAGGTAGAACTCATCCTTTTCGGCTTCAGAGCAACCGGATTGTGGTGCGTACACGGTCAGTACTGTCCAGTACCCCTCCTTCGTGTCCATTCTCACTCCCATGATCCGGTCACTGATCTGTTCACAGTGGAGACGCAGTCTCAGGATTCTGGCCACCGCTTATGGGCAACGCCATTCCTTTGGGTGCTTGCTCCATTGTAGAGAAGTTGACGCCCTTTCTCATTCTCGCGGCCTTCTCACCCCTTCCATCGCTTTCCTGCAGCAGGACTTGATTTTCCTGCGTCCATTGAGGTCTGGCCAAACCTCACGAGACTTCCCGGTAAGCGACCCCACGTTCAGGGTCCCAATTCGAACTAGCTTCTTTGGCCGAGGTCGTTCACCCCTCGGTAGCCCTCGCATACTGACCACAACTCGGGCGAGGGTTCTGCGCGCCACTTCCGGGTGACGTCCTAGCTTTTACACTGATTCTATTGCGACTTGTCATGGTTGTTGTGACGGGTTCCTCCATCAGCCGGCCTGTCAACCTGGGCCTGACGCTGGTATCGTCCCCATTTTTGCAATTTTTGCAAGGCAGGTTTGTGCCTCGGCAGGGATCGAACTCGTGGCTCAGAGTGAGATTATGAGTCTACACTCTTAACCACTCGGCTATCCCTGCCTACTTCTCCCCTACTACGAGCTTAATGAGCACTGCAGCACAGGAGTGCGTGCAACGGTAGCACATTGCGTCCGATAGCGGCCTGAGACGCAGGTTCCAGTCCTGTGTGCGATGTGCCAGCTGTTGCTCTTAAATCGGTGTTTGTACGACCGCTAATGACAAAAGCATGTTTTATGACGAATTAGTCCACCTGTTTGCCCTTTACTGCCGTGTTCCAATTCCAGCGGTGATTTCTTCGTTTGTGCAGATTGCAATCTCACGTTCATTAACTAATTTCAGCAAGATGCCAGCAGTCAAGAAAAGACATAAACCCATAGCTCATTCATGGTATGATAGGTGCGAAGTGGTCAATGAGGCCGCTCCCGTACAATTGATGAATCCGTGAATGTTAGGAAATACGTTGGACAGAGGTAGCTTGATGTAAAAATTGGCTCAAACAATTAAGTCTTTGCGTGAGAATCCGCCATACGCTAAGCGGAGTCAACGATTCCCATTTGATCCTTTCGCGTCTCCTAATCGTAGAACTAGACCATCCCCATACTTCTCTTCTGCGCATGTCTGTGGAAGCTCCAACATGGTGGACTCTCCTCATGCGAGTGTTAAGCGACCTATGAGTTGTCGTGTACTCGCAAGGCGGCTTCTATCTGTGTTTCACATCCATTCATAAGACAGAGTTCTATTAGAGGGGATCCCTGGAAGCTCCAGGTGTATCCGAACAACCCTCCGAACTCACTGTTAGGCAAACTGTTAATGATGCTTCTCACTTACCGAAGATTTGAAAACGGAGCAATGCCTATGACTTGCTTTGCTAAGAACTGCAGTTTTCTGATCTCCAGACTTGCAGGAGCAGTGTGAGTTCCCTTTCATCAACGTTTGTGGAGCAGCAGAAAAACGCCGCTATAGCATGACTGAAAAGACCGAGACTGAGCCGATTGCCACTCGCTTGCGGCGCAATAACGGTGAGTTACTTTTTCTTCTTCTTATCTCTTTGATGTGTTGAAGCTTTCCAAGTAATTCGTCATACCCCTTATGATCTCAGAAGCTTATTCGTCTCAGATTCGCCACGAGATATAATTGTGGCAGCAAGGCGTGCACCAGTTCGTCTGCTAATTAACAAGCCATATTCGAGTGGGAGCGATGCTGGCGCTTCGACAAAAGCAACATCATCTACCAGTGGTAATGAAGCACCTTGCCCTGCTGCTAAAAGGAACCGTTGCAACAGTTGGCGGCCATATCTCGATCTCGAAAAAATGATCAAAGTAAGTCTCTTCATGTCATTTTGGCGCTATAACCAGGGCACTTTTGTCGCCGAGGAGAATTTTTGGAGAATAGTACCCTCTTTCCTATCCTTCTTGTTCCATCTTTCTAAGTTTTTCCAACTCCTCCTTTTTTACGCCATTTTCCCAAGATTTCCCACTTTCATCAAAGAACCGCTGTTGGGTGGACAATAAGGATGCCGTAACCAGTCAACTGCTCATTTCAACTATCGAAAACAATAGTTGTAATAGTTGTATATGGCCTTTGCTGCGACGCCAGCTGCAAGGTTGGGGGGGGAGGGATGGGGGAGCTATGCATAGCGCATAGGAAACGGGGAAAAAGTCAACAGCCGGAAAAAATTTTTGAAGGTAAGGGGCACGATAAATCCCCAACATGTGTAGGATTGATACGCCTAGCAGGACAGAATTCAGCGCCCTTGAGCAGGCGCTGCGTGGCGCCTTTTCCAAGGAAGGTACCCTTATAGCACCCTATCAAGCTGCAATATACCAACCCGAACGGTCACCGCCCCATTACAAATATCCGACCGGTGCTGATGCTTGTATCGCTTCAAGCGAAGTCCGTAGCGGTTA